CTCGAGCTCCCGACGAGAGCTGGTCCTGCAGAGCCCTGTGTTCAGGACAGGCACCCGCTTAATGCGAGTGAGAAAGTGCTCGTGGCTCGAGGTGCTGGTGCCAGTGTCCTCCTCCTGCTGCGGTGGGGACGGGCTGCAGGACACCAGAGCAGCACACGAGTCCTTCCCGTTGAATTTTTTGCCTGCAGACAGTTGGTTACCATCCCAGCTCTGCCTTGGGCCAACGTACGGTGCTGTCCAGGAGTGAACAGAAAGACTTTAACTAATGTGAGGAGTGTTGTCCGGTGCTAGAATCTTGGAAGAAGTGGGTTATTCCCTGCTCCAGCACTAACCTCCTAGGAATGCTGCTGCTCATGTCTTCTTGCCTAATGCAACTCCTTGCAGAGACGCAAACGCTGGCTCTTGCCTCAGCACTAACCTCCTAGGAATGCTGCTGCTCATGTCTTCTTGCCTAATGCAACTCCTTGCAGAGACGCAAACGCTGTTGCTCTTGCCTGGGGAGTCCCCCCAGATCCCGGCAGCCTGGGCACCCCACAGGCGTGGGACCTGTGCTGGGTTTTCCTGCCTCACCTGGCCCCCTGTTCTGGTCCCTCTGTCCTCACAGTGGGTCTGTCCTTCCTCCCGCAGGCATGAAGCGACCCCTGAGCCCATCCCACAACCCCGAGAATGGGGTGCGGCTGGTGGAGGCGGCCACCCGCCGAGCCAGCCCGAGCAGCGCATGAAGCGGGAGAAGAAGCACCAGTCGTTCACGCTCTGCGAGGTCTGCAACATCCAGCTCAACTCGGCCGCGCAGGCGCAGATCCACTACAACGGCAAGTCCCACCAGAAGCGCCTCAAGCAGCTCAACAAGGGGAAGATGCCGGCAGCCCAAGGTAGGAGCCCATCCATCAGGCTGAGGTTGCCCAAAGGCTGCCCTTGCTCTGGGACAGCTGCTCCGCTGGGCTTGGTGCGCTGGATTCGTGGGATGTTTGGGAACACTGTGTTGTGTCCTCAGCGTCTGTCACTTGCTGGTCTGCCTGAACTCTGGGAGCTTCCCCACCCCACTGTCACTGCCGGTCCTCAAGTGGTTTTGGGGCCTGAGAGCCCACGGTGCTGCGCCGGATGGATGGACACGTGTGGGTCCTGTCAATGTGCAAGTGCAGTTGCTGGTACTCTGTCTTCATGAACATCTTCTTGGGTTTCCGTAGATGACTTTTGCAGATGGGATGAGCGCATCCAAGGGTGGAGTGGCTGTCGGCTTCTGGGTTACTGGCTACCTACTTTCCAGGTGCCATCTTGACCCTGCCCCTCTAGCCTCCTGCCGTGCACGTCTTCTGTAGCTGTGCCGAGTTTGGCTGCTGTTGACTCAAAATGCTGCTTAGATTTTGGTGCTGAGGGTTAAGGGCGGACCACTCAAAAGCTCTCAAGTGACATTTTCAAATATGGTTGGAGGTTTTGTTGGAAACTATGATCTTCTGAAACTTCACCTGCATTTTTCTGTTGGGGTGCTCTGCACTGGCAACCCCTGTTAACCTGCTGTGCCCTGTGCTCAGATACTCTGGCAGTATGTAGCTGCCTTGGATCCCACTGGCCCTTTGACATGTAACGTCTTTGGCAAATTGTCCCGTAGTGCTGGCTTGTGGTGGGGGATTGTGCTTCTTTCTTGCTGCCCAGGGAGGGCTCCCGTGGTGTGTTTGCACAGGGGAGGTCGCTGGCCTGAGTCCCTTGTCCAAGGGCAGCTGCTACCTGCCATTAGTTCACTGGGGTCCCAGCAAGTGCTGGGATATCGTCTGCTGCGACACCAACGCTTGATGGGCGCTACAACAAACCAGACAAGCTGAGCCATCTGGGGTCGATGTGTCTAACAGGGTCGATCTGTTCCAGTGAGAAGGAAAGCACCAGCACTGCAACAAGGGCAGGTTTTGTTTTCCATTTAGAGACTGATGTTTTTCACAAAAGCCACTTAGCAGAAGTGGCAGCCAAGACAGCTCCGTGCTTGCCCTTGACAGGAGCTTTTTTAAGGTCCGTGGTTTTGTTTCACCAAGTGTTTAGGTGATGGGCTGAATCCATGGGACCTCGGGCACTGCAGTATTGGAGCCAAAGGTGTCTTTTGTGGGATGCCCCTAATCACCTGTGTCTGAACTCCCAGGGGTGACATGCTCAGTGGCCTGTTTTACTTGCTGGTCATCCATGCAATGTGATGCTGGGGACGTAGTGATCCAAGGCTGCTGTGAGATGGGGATGGTTTCTCTTTGTGGAGAGTGGAGCTCCTGTTCGTCGTCTAATTATTATGGAACACCTCTGTTGTGTTACGGCTGGCAAGAGAGCAGCCCAGCATCGTCCCTCCAGGCAGGCTCGACGTCCACTCGATGTTGTTAGTGACTCCATGAGGTGCAGAGCTGCATATTAACGACTTGTCAGGCTGCAGCACAAGGAAGGAGTACATTCTCTGGTGGCTGGACAAAGCCTCCGCTAAAGAGCAACGAGGTGATCCCTGTCACGCTAAGCCTGACTAACCAAGTCTCTGGCTTCCTGCCTGTTTTTTCCCCGAATGTCACCCTGGTGAGGGTAGTCTTCTCTAAGCCCCTCTTGTTAATTCTCTGGGGGCACTTTCTAAGTGTACGAGAAGGGCTGGCGCTTACCCCCGGGGGCTCTGTGGGGGGGCGGGTAGTCCCGGCCCCTCGCCCGTCGGCCGTGGCAGGGGTGCTGGCGCACGGCGGGTGCTGGCGCACGGCGGGTGCTGCGCTGCCGGGCAGGGGCTCGTGCGAGGGCAAAAGGACTGGTTTGCCCCCTCTGCGATCTGTTGGCGTTTACCTGACCTGGGCCCGTACAGCTGACTGCTGCAGAGTTTCTCCTGCGTAAAAGCAGGGAAACGTGCCCACAAATGTCACCCTGCAACAACGATTGACCAGCTCTGCCCGAGCCTTTCGGCTGCGAGGGTTTGCGTGGTATTAAGCAGCAAACCAAGGGAATTTGTTCTTCCTGGGGCCGGTGCCGACACCTGTGCCCAGGGCAGTGCCCAGAGCCTGGGGGCCCCAGCCTGGGGCTGGGGCCAGCGCTTCCCCTGGCACCCTGCTGCCGTTCGAGGAGGGTTTCACTGGCTGCTCTTCAGGGAGCAGTGGTCATGGGGGGTCTGGGTGCAGCCCTCTTCAAACTGCAGGGAGCGTCCGACTCGGTAACTGCCCTCCTTTCCTTACAGACTGATTAAAGTTGGATTAATGAGCTGAGGTCTCCGAAGCACTTTGTAGCTAATTGATGCCTTTATCTGGTGTGAGCATGACGAGAAGTTGAGGGGATGGGGAAAAGGCAGGAATGTGCTGGAATCCTGTAAAACGGTGTGTTCGGTGCCGGCCCCTTGCTCCCAGGCACCCTGTGCCCCAGCTGCCCTTCTGCGGCCCACGGTGTGCTGTCCCCCAAGGAGCTGCTCTGCTGAAGAGCAGTGAGGGGTTGGAGTCCAGTCCCAGTTTTGTCAGGAAATGTTTGTTTAATAACATCTGAAGGGTTGGCAAACAAATCTGCAATGCTTTTGCAAACAGCAAAGCAGCAGCGGGTTGCAGGGTGGTAAAACCTGCTGTGCCTGGTGGCCCCCCCAACCCTGTTTAGTTGGAAGGGTGATCACAGCAGTGTCCCACGCGTGCACAACATGCGATGCTCTTTGGGCACCAGGGTGGCCGCGCTCGGTGCCTTCACTGCTGTGCTTGTTGGTGGCTTGCACATCTGCTGCGTTTGGGAGGGTCCTGGGTACGAACTCCAGCACTTTCCATGAACACCGAATTTCCTCAAAGGCAGAAAAGTGCTGACGGGACCTGGCTTACAGCCGGGTCAGGAGGGTGCTCATCCCCAGCAAACTAAGAGGGTGGGTAGCTGGGTGCTGTGGTTGGTGCCAGGGCCCTGGCTGCGGTGCCTTGGGAGCAGCCTGGGGAGCAGCCTGTATAAATACCTGCTCTTGCTAAAGACCGGGCAGGCTGGAGCCGTAAATTCCTAGCGTGGCAATGGTCATCTGTATATCAAATCCTGCCCTCCCTGGTGGTGGTTTTGCTTGAGCAAGGTCTGGGATATGCAAAGGAGCTAGTCTGTTTATCATCCTTTACTGACAGATGGAAATATCGCCTGCTATTTTAATGGGAGCAGGGCTCATAAATTCCAGCCTGCAGCTTCCAGATTCTCCCCCTGGACCCGGTTGTGGCTCAATGGGAGACTGTCCAGGGATGTGTTTCCTACCGAGCCAAAGAATCTCAGAGCATGCAAGTATGCTCTTTGTACTTCTGCATCGTCCCTGACCTCCGCCAGCATCCAGGGCTCCAGCAGACAGTCGCAGCCCTCAGGGCTTTGCTGTGCTGTCAGCCTCGCACACACTTTGCTCTGGCATTTAAGCTGAAGTCGGCTTCTGCTTGCACAGGGCTGCAATTTGCTTATGTGGGGAAATTGCAGGCGGCATCTGCTCACCTCACCTCCCCATCCCTCCTGCCCCCCCAGCGGCAGTGGAGAGCGGCACCCGTGCAGGACGCTGCTCCCGCCGCAGCCTGCTCCACGCATCCAGAGACGACCTTCTCCCCCACACTTTTGTTCAAAAATGTCATTTCCAGCTTTGTCACTGGGAACCTTTCCCAGCCTCCTGAGGCATGAGCACGGGAGGGCACGTGGCCGCGAATGACAAATTAGGGCTGGGAACCGGCTGATGCGATGCCCGTGTCCCCTTCACGCCGGTCGCCGAGCGTGCTGCTGGCACTGCGGGTGCTCGGTGCCACCTGGCCCTGCGTCCACTGTGCTGGGAGAGGGGCTGACTTCCCCCCCCAAACCCAACCGCCCACCGCTGCCGAGAAGAGGGGACCAGCCCTTTCTGCCTTGCCCAACTGAGCTAAGGACAAGCACTGGAAAAGCTCCTGGTCTGTGCTCCTGCCTGGCCTGCAGCGTGCGGGCAGAAGGGTGCAGGCAGGGCTGGGCAGAGGTGATGGTTGCTTGGGCTAAGCCCAGTGCAGGGGGGGCTCTGCCCTGCCCCATCACGCTCTTCTTGGAGCCCTTCAGCAGCTGAACCAGCACCTTTCGGTGCTGAGGAAAACGCACCTGCCTGCAGTCACGGGAGCAGTCGCCCCTTCTCGGGCAGCCCGGTGTGCGCCCAGCCCTTGCTCGGGCAGGTCCTGGCCAAGCTGCTTGCTCCAGCAGTGGCCTCAGCCCAGCACAACCCACGGAGAGGGCAGGCTAACATGGGTCTCTGATAACGTGTCAGCACTGGGCGAGCCTTGGGAGGAGAGGGGGTGCTTTTTAAAGACAATAGATTAAATGAAATAATTGAGTTAGACAAAGATGGGATATTCCTCTGAGCTGGAATCTCTGTCTCGCACTGACATCTACAGCTACATCAAAGGCAGCTTTCACAGATGCTGCTCCATCTTCCCCGTTTCCCCTCTGGCTTCTCTGATCAGTTATTTCTGTAAAGGCTGTAATCGCTTGCATTTCATGGAGCAAAGCTGTGGAGGAGCTTAGCTGGCAAATAGATGCGATAATCGGTATCATTACAATTTAATAGCTTTGTGCCAGAAAGACCCCCAACTTAAAAACAAATTATTGTTCATTAGGCATTTTCTTGCAAGGCAAATCATAGATTTCTGTTGTCTCGTGTTGAATTGCAGTGCAGCAGCAATTAGATACAGGATGTCCACAGATGAAAGATGTTTTCATGTTGCAGATGCCAGTTCAAATCCAACTGGGTCAAGAGTGATTTAATTACTGCCTGTGATTTTCAAGGGTGCCCGAGTCATCTCAGTTTGCTCTTGGTGTCCTCATGCTCCCGCAACCAGGAGCTGGACCCCCTCGTTCTGGTGCTGAACAAGCAGAAAGAGCTGTGCCTCCCCCCAAAACAGGGAGTGGTGGCTGCCGGCACAGCCTCCAGCAC